TTATAATATTTTTATTGTAATATATTATATTAAAATGTTTGTTTGGTTATAAAGCATATTTTTACTATTTAATATATTTATTTATTTAAATATGTGGAATTTAACCTAGAATATTTATTTTATTTCCATTACATTGTATGAAATATTTTGAATAAATATGTTATATAGAATATTATATAATTTTTTGCTTCTTTATAAATAAAATTACAAAGTTATCCTTACTACATACATTCATTTTTTACAAGTTTGTTTATATTTTTCAAAATTGAACATTTCCTACTTAATTTATTCTAGATTAATTATAAGATATTAGATTCTGTAAAAGATAAACTTTATTTTTTTTCATATGTTATCATTTTTTCTAAAAAGATGGTAATCATGAAGTGTAATTAAGTGAATGAAAACATAATTTTTTTTTGTTTTTTTTAGTATACCTTACGTTTTTATTTTTATTAGGGGCATATAAACAGTTTAATGAAGTGTTATGTTATTAATTTTTTCTAACAATTGTAGATTTTCTTATTATAATTTTTACATTCTTATTTTTTATAGAATGTTCTTACTGTATTATATTATTTAAACCATATGATTATTATATTTATTTTATAATATCACTGGCAAATACATAGAAAGGAAATATAATCTAGATAGTCAACTGAATATAAATATGAACAGGTTGTTAGGAAAATCCAAGTTTAAAAAAAAAATTGAACAAAATGTTTTAAATATAAAAGATTCTGTACAAGGAATGAATAATAAGATAAGAAATGAGAAAAAGGATGGAAAAACATATGAAGAAGTAAAAAAGGAGGAAAATTATGATTTAGATTATTATATGATAAGTTATAAGTATAGATATTCTAAAAGTATAAGATTAGGAAATTTGTAATTTTATTGTGAATATAAGATATTTAATAATATTTTTAATGTATATAAACTTGCATATAGAAAAGATATGACAAGAAGTAAATTTAAAAATGAAATATTTAAAAAGTATAAAATGCATATATTTTTTTAAATAATTTTTTTTTACTTAATCTCTTTATGAATATTTATTTTGCATCTGATAAATGGAACAATACAGTTTTTTGGTGATAGGTCGATCTATGAAAATCGGCAAACAGTAGTTAAACACTTGATACCAATTCTAGGTGACAAATTCGGATATGCCATACCATTTATACTAACATTAGGAACTATATGTATTTTTATAAAAATTATAAAATGTGAAAAAATAAAATCGAAAAATGTTTAAATGACTGCAAAGAAATATTTTAATTTATTTATATAGATTAATAGGTGTAATTTTCTTACTTTTATAATGTGTAATATAAGAATATATTTCTCGTATACTTGTTCATACATTATGCACACTATGTTTGTTCGAATTAATCCTTGTATTAAATTGTAGTAATATTTACTTTAACATGATTTATTCATATATTTTTGTATGAACATACTAAATTTAGTGCGAATTGGTAACTTATTTTTATATATGTAATTCTACAATATTTTTGTAAAACATATAGTTTGTAATTTTATAGAGCGTAAGATTCCAAGTAAAATATATTTATTATATGTATAGTACATTTAATAAACTGCGTATCTTTTATTTAATATTTCAGTATAAATTTTTAATTAATATTAAAATTGTTATTTAATATTTGTGAAATATATGAGAAACATTTCTGAAACCTTTGTGATATATGAAATATTTATGAAATATATGTGAACTATATATTTTTCCTTTATTCTCATTACGTAACTACAAGTGTATATGTAATTTTGTGATTACTACTATATTCAGAATAAATAATATTTGTAACCAAATAATTATAATAATTAAATATGACATTTTTTTTTTATTCTATTATTTTATTAGGTTTTATTGTAACATAAAATATATATATAATACTATTGATACAAAAAATAGTTATTTAGTTTAAAAATTTTAGATAATACATTAATCAAATAAATATATACTATTTTTATAACACGTGCATGATTTAGAACAAAATATATAGTATTTAGATTATACACTTGAGGCACAATTTCTAATCGGTATTTTTATATTATATATTGTGCAAAAGGAATACAGAGCCTGTTTATTTGCTAATCATATAAATTTTTATATTTCAAAGATTTACATGGAAAATAGAAAGTAAAATAAAATATTTATTAAATTATTATTATAGAACATATATTATTATTAACCTAAATATTAACTCTTTTATTTTTACTCTTAATAATCTTTTTTTTTTTTTTTTTCATTATTTCACTCAATATCAAATTTGTTACAATTAATAATGAATAATTTATAGTGAGTATTTAATTTATGTTAATGTAAAAATCTTGGATATTAATTATGTGCCATAATATCTATTTATTTAGGTCATACGTGCGGATATCTAATCTAAATGTTTTATTTAAAATAATAATATAATTATTTTAACAATATATAAATATAAACATGGATGAGATTACATTGAATATAGCAGTAATTTTACGACAGTTTCGGTAACTGAAAATTTCCTTATACTATAACTATCTACTGGAAATGAATAAATAGAATAAATCTCAAAATAACATCTTTTTTTCTTTTTTTTTACATTTATGTAACAATAATTGTAATTTCAGAAATTGACACATTATAAATGTCAAAAAAAAAAAATTGTGTAATATAGAATAAAAAAAAAAAAAATTTTAGAAAAAAAAACGTAATATACATTTGAGCTGATAAAATGTTTAAAAGGTATTATAAAATAAAACAAGGAAAGTAGGAAATATAAATTTGTAGAATTATTTTAAAATAAAAATACTTTGAATATTATATTTTTTTATTTTCACCATAATCTATTGATATAATTGAATGTTGTATGGGACATAATGTTATTTCCTATTTATAAATATTATAGAATATAATTTAAAATTATATAATTATTAGCCTTATGCTTTAAAAAATTTCTCCTTGTAAATCTTATAATTTATCTTAGCTTAGTATTGCATATGTTCTTAATATGTATAAATAAAACATGATATATTATATATAATTGTTTTTTGGAGAATTTATATTCGAAGAATTTTAAATATATTTTAAAAATAGAATAGAGTGCCTACGTTGTAAAAAAATAAAAAGCATAAATATATTTAGAGGTATTCAAAAAATGTATTAAATAAAATGGGTAAAAATAAAAAATGTATAGTGATGAAGGTATATGCTTTCGTATATTCTTTTTTATCATTGAGCATATAGGTATAAGGTTTTTCTTTTAAACATCCGATTACTATTCTTTTTTATAATGTTCAAATTTTCCCTATTCTCGCGTTTACGGGAATATTGAATTATGGTGTATTAATAACAATTAGTCAATTTAATACTTTTTTCATATATCTACAACTCCATATTTCAGCTATATATAATATATATGAAAGGTTATCCTTACATCAATTTCATAATTTTTTATATAATTATAGAATCTCATTTCCTCATAACTTTTACCAAAAGGAATAACAAAAATATTTATATATTATATACATGGAAAAATATACTTATATTATTTAACATATGTCATATTTCCCATTTTACAATTAATTCAGCTTTTGTAAACTTAAGAGTTTTAAAAATAAAATTCAAAATGTCCCTTTAACTTAAGCATTTCGAAATATGTAAAAGCGTAGTATAGAAATTAAATTAAAATTTACATTGTTTAAACAGTATTCAGATAATAACAAAATACAACCAAACAATAACATTAATAAACATACATTACAAAAAAACATAATATATGTGTAAAATGAACTTCATAATATGTTCACATACCTTGTAAAAAGAAAAATAATAGAACAACACCTTATTTTTCCTAGATTCACAATTAATAAGTTAGATGTATGTTATTAAATACATAACGCCTATTAATATTAATACATACACATATATTATAATTATATGAAATTGAATGTTTAAAAATCCAATATTTAATATATATGTGCATAAATATTTTTACTGTAAAAACTATAGAATATACTAGAAAGTAAAAATCTATAAACATATATGCCAAAATCAATACTAAATTACACATAAACATAATGAAATACAAATAGGAAGTATAAAAAATTGAATGTTATACATCGATTATTTATATATGGATGTGCAAATTTTTATGAATTTCTATAATTATTTTATTTTTATTAATACTACTTAAAATATATAATGTTTTATATTATATACAAAATAAATAGCTGTATTAATAATAGTTTTTTAATTAAAACATTTATTACAAGTAAACGTACTTTTATATACATCATATTTTTTTTTCCTTATAATAAAATTTTCATTAAAATCACTGAAATAAAAAACAAAATCATAGATAAATATACAAATAGTAAAAAGTAAAGTATATAAATTAATGATTATTTTATTATAATTTATATCAGTTTAAATATCGAAGTATTTATCTTTATATGTAACAAATAAAAATCGAAAATTTGAACTCATATATTCACGATAATATTATAGTAATATAGCAATAATATACTAAACATTAATATAAGAAATTTGTGTATATAACATATATTCATACATTTTTATCATATAATATATTTTCTATTGTTCTTCTTCAGTTAAAAATAATATAAGTAATAAAAAAGAAAAGTTATTTTTAACCCCAAATAATAATATACTAATAAATTAACAATAAATAATAAGACATAATAATAAATACACGTATTGAACAATAAATCTTATTCTGATTTATTTCATATTTTGTTATTAGCATTTATATAATTTTTACAATATTTTTATGCTTATTGAAGGCATAAAGATCTTGTAATTTAAGAAGAAAACAAATTTTTATAATTTATATGTTGATTTTTAAATTACTCTTTCATTATTCCAAAAAAAAATAATTCTTTTGTTAGATGAATACATTTATACCGCAATATATATCGGGATAATGATAATTATAACAAAAATATTCTTTTGCGAGCCATAAATAGAAAAATTATATATTACTGTTTGTTACATTAAATCTTTTCGACGATTCTATATCTTCATGAATCGAGTAATCTTCTATTATATTCTTACCCATTATAATATTACGTGTTCTTTTAGAATTCCCTAGTAATTTTTTTTTTAATAAATACCTAACCGGAGTAAACTAATGAAAATTTGGTATATATAGTATTTATTTTATCTATAGTATTTGTAGGAACTATTTAAGTATTAATAAAATTTATTTAATATAATGTGATACATATATATTTTTTTTTCATATTTATAATTACTTTCAACAGTATAATAGAAAAAACTATAATTCCTATAATTATAGGAGCAGCGACCATACTTGAAGAAGAAGCTGAATGGATATTTGAAATTTTATATTCTAAATTTTGTTCATCAAAAACCATATGTTCGTATAGCTCTATATTTTTATGTGTCCCTTTTCCATTTTCTGTAATATTAGATTTATTTTCCCATGGAGTACATGACAATTCAGATATTAAAAAGTAGTTATTTCTCCTAAAAAAGGTAATAAAAAGACTACAATATGAATAATGCTTAATATTGGGTATGCAGTTCCTCCTTATGGTCTTATATACTTTCGCATATTTTAGAAGAAGATTCCTGTAATCCATATTACAAAACGATTCATGTTTGTCTAAATCATTTTGGATATGATCGTAATCTTTAGAATAATCAAATAAAGTCTTCATATCCGTGAAATTTTCTTTCATTATATTATAATTATTATATTTATCAAAATCACATATGGGTTTACCATTATTATTTTGCAGAATATGATTAATCGTCGATATAACAGTATAAATCAAATGAGTTTCTGTTATATTTTTATATAATAAATCATATAACCAAAAGTACAGGTAATCACAATCATCTGTCTGAAGCCTTTCTTCTGATTCAATTTTATATACGTGACATAAGGCTTTAACTATTTTTTCATAGACACTTTCAATCCACAAATTTTTTTGTTTAAGTCTCATTAAACTTGTTTGAATAGTAGAGCTTTTGCAATTATCAGATGCATTATCGAAACTAGCATACTTTATTTTTGATGGTAATTTTTTGAGGTGTTCATCCTATATATTTAAAACATAAGGTTAAATACATATTTTTATTTGCGAAAAAAATAAAATAATTTTTTAAAATATATTATAAATATCCAAAATATAATTTAATTTACAACTCTGATTATTTGTATTTATTATTAAAATACATATTTATATGAAACAATTGAATAATACATGTAAAAAAAATTACTGTACTATATTATTTTTTTTAATAATAAAAATTTTACTGAAATATTATTTAAATAATAAACATAAATAAAAATATTTTTCTGTAATAACTTAATATAATGTTTCTATATAAAATAATGATATATTACACAAAATAATACATTAAATTAATTATTACTATTAATTTTCTAATTTTAAATCATTACAAGGTGCTTTAATATTTATTTTTTTGAGAATATTAATTTATATAGGCACATTATATCAATATAGAAAAACCACATAACTAATATAGTCTACAGTTCAGAAAATAAATTCATTCAATTGATTACACAAGATAATATATTAGCATTATATGTTTTTTTGCACATATATTATATATATATGGAGATGTAATTTTCATCTATTATAATTTTACTAAGTTATATATTTATTTGTCCATATAGGTATTTTAAAATGGGTAATGATTTCATGGATTGTCCAGAATCATATAAGAGGGTATGTTTACCTTTTTTATGAAATGATTCAAGAGAGACTTCTTATCATATAAATTTAATAATTATATTATATATATACAACAAACATTCTTTTTATTATGAAATATTATATACTTTACTTTTTTTCATTTTTCTCATTAAAATTCAGAAAAAAATATGCTATTCTTATTTTCATGAAAAGTTTAATACGTACCCTCGTGCAGTTAACATAGAACACGAGGAGTATTTAAATTATATTTACAAGTTCCCTGATCCTATTTTAAAATATGTAGCTTTATATTTTTATAATAATTATTCAATTGCCGAAAAATTTTTTAATAAAAAAGATCAAAAACGTCATAATGTAGCATGTGCTGTTATGAATAGATGGTTAAATCAACAAAAAAGTTTCTACACTCACTTTGGGAAGTGCCATGATAACACACGCTGGTGGGATATTTATATTGAACCATTATGGGAAAAGCTAGAAGAATATTATTCTGAAAGGGTATGTAAAAGATTTAATTCATATTATGATAAACCAGCAGCTGGTGTGATTTCCGATAAAAATGAATGTTACAAACGAGAACCTGAAGAATTTATTTGTTATGATGAATCAAATTATGATAATAGCACTCTTAAAACAAATTGTGCTAAACTTAGTATTTTATTCTCCTTGTGTAAAGATAACTCTCTACTTAAAGATAGCACACATAATTCAACCAAACCTGATTATTGTCCTAATGATTATAAATATGAAAAAATTAACTATACTTCTCTATTAAAAACTGAAAAATATTGTGATTGTCCAACACTAATGAGTAACATTTTTTTTCCAGTTTGTGTAACAATTTTAGGAACATTATTTCTTGCTTTCTTTCTACTCAATGTAATAATAAAATGTTAATGGTTTTTAAGGAAAATTCTATATAATTAATTAAAAATAATTTAATAATAAAATACTAGCATAAAACATACATAACAGAAGTAAACCTAAATACATATTTTTTGTTATTTAATAGTTCACACCTCTTGGGCGAATATTCTCAAATCGTGTTATAAATAAAAACAATTTAATTAAGTCTTTTAACGAAGAATTAGTATATGAACAACATGAAAGATCTAGAAATAATATTCCACATTCTAGAAAAAGATATAATATATATTAGCAATAAAAGAATGAGTAAATTTGCGTATACAATAATAAATGTGTATCTGTTAAATAAAGAGTTTATCCGGGGAAATATTTATAACAATAGAACATATTTAGAATAAATGAAGAATTATGCTCTAGTAGTAATGCTATTAAGTTAATGTGCTTTTATGAAGAAAAAACATAACATATTTAGTTATATTTTTATATTTTATATTAATTAATTATAACAATACGTTTATATAATTAATTATCATAATATGATTTAAATCGATATATAAGATAAATTTTTAAATAAATAAAATTTATATATCACAAGACAGAATTAATATAGTGATGTATCTCTTTTATATATATTTAAAATACTAATTCAACTGAAAATCCATATTTCTGCTACAAATGGAGAATGTTTTTATTGAATTACAAATTTATTATCATTTATTGGAAAAGAATTATTTAGGTTTTATATTTCATACATGTGAGTAAAAACATCCATGCTTATGGTTTAACATTTAGTGTTTATTGTATGTGAATAATAAAATGTTTATTTTTTTCATTAATATAATATTAGAGTCTCAATTCAATTATTTATATATGAATTATATCTAAGTAATACATGGAGCATTAAATAATTATTCAATGTCATGCAAACATTAATATATATACATGTCGCATAGCCACATTGGTCTATATATATATATTAATTATTTGTTTTTGTATTATCAAAATTTATATAAAATCATTTAAATAAAAATATTTTCATATATATATTATATAGAAAACATTTACTGCATTATATATTGGTTTATTCTAACTCAATAAAATAAATATTTTATTATTTATAATGTCTAATTATGTATTTGTTCGGTAAAACAATAGAACGCATTTATATACTATAATTTTTGGCATATAATTAGTTAAGATGAACAAATTACCTATTAATTTTCATTATATTATATATATTTTTTTATATATTGTTTTATACAATTATGCACATAACCACATCATTACTGTCATGAATATAAATATATATTAGACAGTTTGTATTTATGCATTTTTACTTAATCATATTTTTATATCTCCGCTGTACCCATAAATATTTATAATTTATGGATTGACAACTCTTAGATTTTTTTTTAATGTATAATGAATCATGTTTTTCATCATTTTGAATATTTTGATAATTTGTTTCCTTCACAATTGAGTTATTTGATGAGAAATTGTCTAAAATTAAATAATTATTTGAGCTATTAAATGAATGGTTATATGTATATATTTATCACTTTATTAATTTATTAGTTCAATTTCATAAATCACTATAAGAAGATTTGCTTATATAATGACCATTTAAACATATTTTATAAGTTTATTCTGCAATATATATTTGTTAACTTAAATTAGTGTATATATTATAAATTTTTTATAAGTGATTATAATAAATATTAAGTACATGCCTTCAGTAAATATTTTTTTACCGCTTTAGCTGAAAATTATCGTATATATAGCACCTCATATAAAAGTTAAAATATAATTTACTTGCTTTTTTTCTTATATTTATCTTTGAAATATGGTATATATAAAATAATTTTATATTGTACATATTTCTTGCAGATTAATAGTAAATAATATTATATGTAATTACATGCGTCTTTAGTGTGCATTTTTAAATTAGACCATAAATAATCATCAGATATATAAGAAAAAAATACGTAAAATTATATTTTAATTCTTAGTTTAAATAGAAATATATTTTCATATTGCTTATGTTATAAAAAAACATTATAGATTTCATTTTAAAAATATAATTCATAGGCAATAATTCCTATGATTCTGTTTGTTACATTAGCTATTTTAAGAAAATATGTATTAACAAGAATTCAAAAATTTATTTTATAAATATTTTTTTTTCTTTTTGTGTTTATGTTATCCTTCTGTTATTTGTAATACCTACATAGAATTTTAAACATTATAATGAATTTTATAATATTACAACATGCATATAATAATTCATATTCATATATGCTCACGTATAAACATATAAAATGTATAGGACCACTATTTGCACAAAATATTTATTCTTATGAGAATTTATATATTTTATAGTGCTATTTCATTGAATAAATTCATAGATACATATCTAAATAATATACCACTATTAATATATTACGAAAGACTTTATATTTAAAAATATATTACTAATAAATATTAGTATGTAGATATTGTATTCAGAAATTTGTGATAATATTATTTAGATTTATTAATTAATCAATATTTACTATATGATAACAAATATATTCTCTATTTTATAATAATATATAATAGTTTAATTCGTTACTGCTTATCTGCACACAAATAATTGGGGAAGAAATTCAAATGAAAACAAATATATATTACTTTTAATTACTTTTAATAATCATTTAATAAATATTGTATAAGGAGAAATTCTTTTAATTTCATGAATTTTTGGTATAAGATTTTTATATATGGGTTAAAAAATTACCAAAATATGATTAATAAGAATAGAGGAAAAAAAAACATATATTTTATTATTCCTAATATTATAATTTTTGAAAAATAAAATATTACATTCGATGTCTCTATATTGATTATCATCATAGTTATAACTATGTAAAAAATAAAATAAATGTCTTGTAAGTATAAAATTAAAAAACTTTGAATATAATTTTTCTGAAAGAAATAAATTATATATATTCTATTTTCATATTATTGTCCATTATTAAATTAGTATTGTTTTTATAGGCATATGTATTTAAATATAAAATATATGCATATATTATTATTAAAAATATGTTAACGCATTTTATATATAAACGTATATTAATAAATAAAAAAATAAATTTAAAAGTGTAGAATAAATACAAAAATATCATAAAAATGAATGAATTGTATATTGCTGTTGTAAGGTTTACGCAGCTAAAAATAATTACATCTACAAAAAATATATATTCAGAAGTAAAAATAGCTGCATAAAAGAATTTTACTATAATTAATATGAACAAAAAATATATACAATTTTAAATATATATAAATTTATAATTTAAGGAAAAGGATAAAATTTTGATTAGTAGAATTCTGTAATAATATAATGCTAATATAAATTATTTATATTTATTGTACATTGATAATGAGTTGGAATATATTAAAAATAAATAAATGTGTTACTAGTATTATCTTAGAAAGATGATTATTTTACGCTTGAATTTTTAAAATAGTTATATTATCAATTTAAAACATATATTTTGTAGTTCTTAAAGGAAGAGAGCGTATATATAAAATATTCAGTTATGTGAATATAATGCTAACTACTCAACAGAATGTTTTATTTTAATTACTTTTCATATAAAATAATTCTGAGACATTAAATAATGTTAATTTCTATGTTAAGAAATCATGCTAATTCCCAATTTGATTTAATGTATAATATACTACATATTTCGAAATATATTATAACACTAAATATTAGAACAAAAATCATAGGTAGTATTAGAATTTTCACTATATCTTTTATATGTCTGTAAAACATAAAAAACATACATTGTTCTATAAATATAATTGTTTTAATAAATATTATTAAATATGATGACAATTGATTTAACATAAATAATACTTACATATTTTTTTAATAACTTGTGTAATTATGATTTATTTTGTTAGATGGTATATTATTCATAATCGAGTAACATTCTAAATTTCAAAAAAATTCCTACTGTTTTTATTCATTATTATTTAAAAAATATACATAAATCAGTAATAATTACATTGACTTCTATATGAGTAATTTACGCTTAGGCTTATATTTATAATATAAAATAATATATTTATATGGCATTATAATTTAATTAGAAGTAACTATTATTTCTTAGCCCGTACGAATACTTAATTTCATTGCATTGTTTAAAATATAATTACACAAATATATTATATTCTTTTATTTAATGTATACTTGTATATTTTGTATTATATATGATGTCATGTTTTACATGATTTTTTTTTTTTTTTATATAAAATTTTATTTATCCTTATCTTTAGATTTAGAAATATTTTACTGGGTCCCAGAATTTAGTTTTATGTAATTTTCTAATTTGTTACATTTGAATAGTAATATCATTATCTATTTAATTTAGGTTTATTATAATTGACAATACATTTTTATAGGATGTAAATTTAAAGGACTTTTTCTATCAACTTTAATTATTGTTCAGTATGTTCGAATATTTATAAATTTATATTATCAATTTTAACATAAGTTATTTTTTACTTTTTGGAAACTTTGAATATATTTGTATTAGTATATTAAAATATTTTAATTTGAATAATTATATTTCATATTTTTGTGGAAGCATTTTATTTTATTTTTTTATGTAATGTATAATTTATTAGCTATTATTATGTTCGTTAGGGGTAATCTTCAGAGCTTTATCCTATACCACACCTTTTATCATAAGAATCATTGTACATCCTATCATGTTAATTCATTAGATCTAAATTCTTTTTAATTTTTCTGTTGAACTTTTTCTCTAATTTCCGTACCCTTGGTTTAAAAAATGATAAATATAATGTATATTTATAAAAAAAAAATACATATTACTGTTTTGAATACAGTATTTATATGATACGTACTATGCATCATAAAATGCAATATGGAGTTAAATAAAATATAAATTTTATAAATTAAAATATTTTTATAATCTTATATAGAATGAATATAATTATTAATATAGAAAATATTAAAAGAGCTATTCATGATCCTGAAACAGCATTTATGTCTCCTTATTCTGATTTTAATGCTACTGAAAACCTTATTTTTTACATTCCTGCATTTGATTCATTTGGTAATGTTAATTATTGTGTCATTTCTGTTTTAATTTGTTTTGTTTTGTGATTCTCTGTAGTTTATACTTGTTTTTGCTTTTCTTGAAGCATTGTTTTTGGTTCTGATTTTTTTAAAATATTTTTTTTTACCTCATGAATTAAATGGCAAAGTTAGTATATATTCTCTATTATAACAATAATAACATTTTCTATATCTCTCATATTTCCTTTAAATTCTTCCATTACAAATAGGACCTCGTGTTCTCCATATATATCCTTATTATCTAATATTTTTTTATATTTACCATAAATGATTTTACGATAACTATAATTCCAATAGCAATAACGTATTTGTAATATATTTTTATATAGTATAACTGTATAACGAAACATGTCAAATAATATTATTTTCTTCTCTTTTTTTAACATATTTTATAATATCATCACAAGCCTTATTAAAAATATAATTCCATATGTCATGTGGTTGGGAATTTGGAGGAAGTTACTGATTCCCTAATTTTTGAATTATATAATTATACGATAAATTAAGATGTGCTCTATTACAACCAGTATTTATTAATACATGGATAAGCATTTATATGAAGTAAGTACATCTGTGCACTACATTTAAATGAGTATAATGTAATTTTTCTTTTAAATAACATAAATAACGACCGAGATCAATAAAATACAGATTACTAATTATAGAGGAACATGAATTATTTGCATACATATTACGATTTAATTCATTGTATAATTCATATAATTTACTATTTAAACTAATATATAAACTTTGGTAGTTACTATAATAATATTTTTAACAAAATTACAATTATATGCATATGTCGGAAATATCTCATCAAAAACAAACTAAATATATAAAAATATATAATTTTTAATTCTATATATTGTTTCTTTTACGCAAAAAATAGTAGTTTAATTGCAATAATATTATTAATAATTAGAATAACATATGGAAAGCTACTTATTCTTTAACAATTTTAAATAGGGGCATTGTGTTTTTTCGTTCTTGTTTATACAAAACTTTTATGTAAAACTTAATACAAAATTCTGTGTGAATGTATAAGAATAAATATTATTTTAATATTATTTCATTTAACATTTATTATTACATTCTTATTTTTATTAAGTTATGATAGTGGATAAATAAGTTTTTACAGTGTTTGATGATATATTTGTCACTAAAAAAACTATACAATTTGCAATTCATATTTATATTCAAGAATAATTGAAGTAGTAAGCGTAACCTTATTATGTTCATTATAGATGATGTATATATATTCTGTTAAGATAGATACTTTTCAGTGTATAACCCCCTAAAAGAGAAAATATAAATTAAGTTTTTTATTGCTTATTATAAATGAAATAATAAAGTATATAAAAAATGTAAAGCATTGTAATTTTAATATAATTGTAATAATGCAATCCATATTTTAACATGATAATCAAAACATTTCAATCCACAATTATACGTTGTATAATAGACGTAAGTGTGTACGTGATAATAAATATAAAGATATTAAAAATAGCATTACAAACATTTGTTTGTTCCAATTTAATAATAAATACACTACATATTATTTATAGAATTTATATTTTGCACGTAATAAGAAAATATTCTAATAGAACTTTTAATAATTTGAATTTAATAAAAATGAATAGATTTAACATAATATAAACATAATAATAATAGTTAACATTATAATTAAATGATTGAGAATTAATAAAAAATTTTTCTTCTTAATGTATTAATATATAACATATGTGTGTATTATGTAATATTTATATTTTATATGAATTGATAATTGTAATGCCTAATTTATAATGGGGAATTTTGGTGTGAATGTAAACAGAATAACTTAATAAGCGCAAATTATAAAATAAAAGTATATATATAAATAACTATACTAAAAATATTTATGATACGGTTCCTGTTACGTCAAAAGGTTTCTATTATTTTCCATTGTGGTGAGCATGATATAACTATATAAACAATATAATAAATTTTAATTTTGCTTAAATAATATAATTTACATTATATAATGATAAATTAATGATATTAATTATATTAAAAAAAAGAAAGTAGAGATTTCGATTTTGTACACATATACTTACATATATCCATTAATTTAAGCATAAAGAGCTCAAGTGAGAAATAAAAAATTTATGTAGTGAAAATTTCCTGCTTCATGCATTTGTTTTATTATTAAATTTTATAGAGTATGTAACTAAATAATGTTATCGTATTCTATTATCTTGAAAATATTACAAAAACATGTTAAAAATAATTGTATTATTAACGTTAGGTAATAATCTATAACATGTAATATAATTAAACACGTATTATTTTTGTATGTATATAAAATAAGTTATTGCATGAATAACTTTTTTTTTCAAGGTAATTTATAATTATTTTATGTAATATTTTGATTATTAATTTTCATACAAATATACTTGTAATATCTGGTTAATACATATTAATTTTTATATGATTTTATTTTTTTCATTCATTAAAATAGCAATTTGCAGAATTATTTTTTCATTTCTTTTTCTTTTTTATGTTATGTACCATTAAAATATATTCTGAATAATAAAATATTAATCAGGATGGTACACTACAAAATGTTCTTGTCCATTCATATAATTTGAATTACATGATTCTGATGAGTAATCAAATAAAACATTTTTACTTCTATTTATGTCACTTATAATATTTTTTTTCAGTCCAACTATTTTACGCAACTGAATTCCTATAGGTGTAAACTTGTACATAAAAAGAAAAAAATAACACATTTATTGATTAATTTTTGTTTTCTTTGAAGGGGGGAACTATTAAAATAAATGTATTTCTAATTTGTTTTAAAACAAAATATACTTACTTTGTACAAAATGGAAGAAACTATAGTAAATAAAATTAATCCAAGAAATGTTTTTCCAAAAACACTTACAATACTAGATCTGTCACGATATATAAATAAATCAGCAAATTCTTCTGTTTCATACACTTTTAATAAGGAATCATCTCCATGAGCAAGTTCATCCAATAATACAAGATGACCACCAGATGCTTTTGTATGTAATGTAGCGGATTGAACTTCTAATGATGTTTCCCTTTCTGCACTTGTATGAGCGGAAAATGTATCTTTACTTTGCACGGAAGAATTCTCAGAAATACTTTTATCCGCTTCAGTATAATTATTAATCTCAGTTAACGCTTTGGATGGACTATATTCCTTGCATTTATTAAAAAATTCTGGACACTTATAATTATTTTTTTCATCACAATACTTCTTAAATTCTTGATATAATTCAGTTTTTCTTTTAAAATATTCACAAATGATATCTCGATTATCCTTATAGAGCTTAGCAATACTAAGAAGTGCATTATAATCAATGCAGTAATCATATAACCTTTTCCTTCTCATTAAGTTATGTTGATAAGGCATATTAAATTTTGGACTACATTTATTGTAAAATGATCTATTTACAGGATCTTCAACAAGAGAATTCCATAACATTTGAATTTTAGCAAACATATTAATAATAGGAGCATGTTCCTTATTATACATCCAAGATAATCTACTGTATATCCAATAATTCAAAAGTTCACAATTATTGTAGTCATTATTTCTTTCATTCATTATTGTATTTGCAGTACTTAGATGCCATAGGAGTACTGAACAAAGTCTTCTAAAAAAATCACTTTTATGTGTACTATGGAAAGTTTCACACATTTTATAATACACTTTTAACTCATTTTGGTTATGCTTCCAATTGACATTATTATAATTAAAAAGACGAAGATCCAATTTTTTATAAAATTGTGCTGATGGTAATCCTAGTTTGTCATTTTCAAAATATTCCTAATGAAATTAAAATTATGTACCTGCTTAAATATAGATATCATAGAATTTTTTATATTATAAATAATAATATACCCTATTAAAAAATAAATGTTATGATTATAACTGTCCATAAGGTATAAATATTACTTTTAATTTATTTTGTATATTTTTTCTCTGCATAATGAAGAATATATCAAATTATTATATTTTTAGAGTCATTAAAAATTTATGTATATAATATTCAAGGAATTTATAGTTGTATTATGCATAACAAATATCATTAACTGTTATTCCATTATGCAATAGTTTTCTTATATGTAATTCCTGTATAAAGGAAATAATTTGTATTAAATATATAAACGATTAAAAAGGAAAATTTTAAATTGGATCATTAAAATTAAAATTTAAGTGAAAAATGAATGATTCTATATATTATACTGTGTCATTATATTAACTTAGAAGTAGGTGCACCACATCATATATATGCTAGTGAAATAATATAATATGTAAATTAGTACAAAGAATTACTTAAATAAGAAAAGTACGTTTATATTATAATTATTTAAGATATAATATTAATATGAACCCTTATTATAATATTTGACATATACTAATGTGTTGACATTATTAAATTTTGTAAACATAGACGATGAAAATGTATAATAAATATATTCTTACGTTTAAAAAATAAATAGTTTGGAAAATACATTTATATCAAATAATCATTTATCTTAGATTGCATAATTTTGTCTTCTGTAACATTCAATCATGAATATATATCAATGGTAAGTTGTACCTAAATAAAAAAGTTATTCTAAATGATTCAATCAAATATAAGTGTAAATATTCATTTGATAACATGGCAATAATGCCCATAAATGTAATTAAAAATAATGAATTAACTGAAAATTGTGTGTTTTAATTATATTTAAAATGCATAAAAAATTAAAATGTATAATATTATGGTTTAAGATACTCCTTGATGTGTAGAAATTTGTGGTTTGTATTTTGTATGAATATTGATTCTTATATATTTATTTTATATATTTCTCGTTGTAAAAAAGTTATGTATTACATACAAGATATTTTGATTACCCATAACATATATTTACTTTTGCATTGGATTTTAAGGATTAGGAAATTTTTGTTCTTATACAATCTTTGATATAAACATATTAACATTAATGCATATTAACTTATATCAGTTAATCCTAATTCTGGCATGCTTTATATCTTTGATTTCATATTGTATAACAACTAATATGGATTTAATCTACCATGAAAATGAAGATTATATATATTCCTACATATTATGCTATATATATATTTTATAAAATTTATTAAGAGTTTAATTTTATGCTACCTATATAACAAAAGTAATCATGTATTGTATTACGATTATGCTGTATTAATAGAATTGTTATAATTATACTACTTAAATAAACAATATATATGTTCTACATATATTAAGTAGATGTTCTTAGAAATAGGAAGATATATGTAAATTTTTCAATAATATAACTTCATAAAAAGAGTAACATTTTACACATGGAATTTAAATAATAAAGGAGACAACATAACACAAAAAAATAACAGAAGAATTTTAAGGATAATGTATTATAGAATAATTTTCGTACTAAAATAATGTCTGAAAAAATCTATAAATTGTACGCTTAATATATATATAATTGTTGAATACAAACTTATGTTTCATTTTTTCATTTTTCCTATTTCACCTTATAAAAAATAGTTAATTTTATTTTCATATATGTATATTCTATATATATTAAAATAATATTGGCAGTAAAATATTATTTTCACAGAATAACTTAAAATTACACAAAATATTTTTATTAAAAACTGCAATAGTTTTTTCTTTTTTACGTTTTATAATATAAAAAAGCCGTTTTTTCTGTTTATCCAAATTTTTTTTATTTTTTTATTATATACATTAGTGTCGGTCATGTTAAGTTAAAAATTTTGCATCAGATATAATATGAATATGTATGTTTTTTATTTGTTTTCCATTTCATTTATATTCGTTAGGTTTATATGATATTTTTCATCCAAATTCCCACTTATGTTATTATTTGGACATTAAAACAATATATGGTAATATTTTATGCACTAGTTTTATGACATTTAGTATTTATATATTTATCAATTTATTTTATTTTTATTTTATAATTAATAAGTCGTTTACGTAGTTCAAATACTACCTTATATAAGTATTGTTCTTGCTCTTTTATTATATATAATATTAAAAATATATAATCACTACATATTACAAAAAATACACAATGAAAAAAGGAATTTTATAATATCATTAATTGTAACATAATACAAAAAATCATAATTACTATACATCTCTTAAAAATATAATATTACTTCACCTTATTTTTTTTTTTTATATATACATAACTTGTGAAATTAAGAAATGTATTATCTTGATACATCATATTTTTTTTTTTTTTTTTTATTAAAAAAAAAATACAATGATAATTAGGAAAAATAAGTGATCTCTTTGTTACTGAATGAGTGTTCTTTTGTTATCAATGTTTTACAAAATTCACAATTAAATTATTAGGTAACAATAAGATAAAGAAAACATTATACAACATTTAACATGCGTATTTTTAATAAATAGTAATATATATTAAGGTTTACTAAATTATTTACATGTGCATAACTTTCCAATTATTGAATAATGTATATATTTTATTGTACGTTATTCTTATTACTGCAATATTTTCTTTAGTACATAATAGTAGTTAACTATATGGTATGAGAACAATGATGTCTATATATTTTTATTTAAAATGTTTATTAATATTTTTAAATATATTATATTTCTTCTACTATATAATTTATATAATTATATAAATTATATACAGCATATAACATTTTTGAATAATTAATTTAAATAGTAAAAATATATGTTTTCTTTTATCACCCAACAAATCTTTTATTATTATTTTTTTATAATGAACTTTTGTTTTATTTTTAATTTTCATTAATTAATTCTCTATAAAAATAATGTATTATATAAAATTTTTTCATGTAACATTATTTTTTAGGCTTAATTCTAATAATGGTCTTATTTCATACTTTAAATGATAGCACATTTCGTTGTTCAATTTTCTTATCTGAATTACTTTTTATTAAATTGTTTTTAAAGATTTCATACGAAGTATTATATAAACGCACTTTTTGAATATTATCCTAGAATTTTTGTTTTCATAAATTTGCATAAGTTATGTCATATCTCTGAATATATGAGTTTATATCCATACTGTCATGTGCAGGGTATAATAATTCTTTTTTTTCAACTCCATAAAAATTTCTTGTCGCTTTTACCTTAATGCTGGAACGAATCATGTTACCAATTGGAGTAAACTAATAAAAGGATAATATCCTTTTTATGTATTTCTAAATATTATATAATTAATAGTAAAGTATAGCGTAAAAATATATTTAACTATTTTCTTATATTTCAAAGGGTATTATATTCACCTTATAGATTAAAAACAAAAGGGAAGATACCCCAGCAGTTGTAGCAAGAGCTGTGGGTAAAACCTCTTTTATGGAGGTACTTGAAAAAAAGGATTCAGATTCTGGTAGCAATATTAATGCACCATCCAATTCCTGTACAATTAAGTCTTCTTCTGCGTCATGTGGAATTTGTGCTTCATCTATACCTAATGATACCTCAAATTCGCCAGCAGATTTGCATCGGAATAAGCTTGTATTATCTTCAGGTTTTAAAGATGGTACATTTATTTTTTTTTCTAGTATTGATTTTTCATTCTTAAGGTATAAATTATATGATGTCTCAAAATTATTTAAATATGAACATGTTTTCTTTACTCTTTCAATAAGATTAGTCTGGTTTGAAGGGCAATACTTATTCTTCACACGTCGATATATTGTTACGACTTTATCGACAAATTCTTGACAAGTGCACTTCATTACTTTATGATCTCTAATCAATGTGTCCTTAATATCACCTATGTTAGACTGAAAAATACTTAGCATTATAATCGCAAGGGGTTCTGCATAATTTTTTTGGTAGAAATAATATGGACACGTACTTTTATATCCTAGTCTAGTAGATACATTTTCAATAAGATTGAAAATAGAACTAAAAATTCCACCATTAAGGTCATATTTCCTTATGGAAATATATAACCAGTTGTTCAAAATTTTACAATATTCATTGTCAGTTCTGCAAGAATCTGTGTTATTGCAAAATATACCCAAATTTTTTAAAAGTTTCAAACATAATTCAGAATACATATCTTTTTTTTTTTTATTTAATTTATTTCTAATTGTGTCACAAAATTTATGATATAATATGTTTTCACTCGACTCATCCACTTGTTCATCTAATTTATCATACACTTCCCATACATTGCGTAAAAAGGGATACTGAAATTAATGAAAAAATACATCAATTTAATATATTTAAATTAAGATTAGAATGTTATAAAGTATTATATAAAATTCCAAATGTTCTATTTCATATAAAATTATTTTCAAATCATATATAAAACAAACGAACTTGATTTCCAAGCTTTTTAAAATAAAAGGCAAACTCAGACATAATTTTTTAAGTAAAAGATAAAAATAATTTCTATATGTATATTAATAAACAAATTATCATATTACATTATCTCTGTATATATTATGTTTATTAATAAGTTAAAAGAGTATATAATTATATATTAGCGTTAAATAAATTTTAATTTATTTATGTATTAGGATAAAAATAACAACATGAAAAATAGGCATATAATTTTCCAGGAAATATGTTGTAATAATGGACTACATAAAATTATTATATAAAAATATTTTTATATGAATATTAAATATATCTATGAGTCCTATATATTTAATGGAAAGAAATAATAAACTTGTCCATAAATATAAATGTAATTTATTAAGAATATTATATTTAACATAAAACATACAATGAACAAACGTATGTCTTAATAATACACTTATTAGAATACATAATAGCATATAGTTTTTATTGAATAAATTATTTATATTCAAGAATAATATATGATTAATTATTTTTCATTATAGTGCTAATATGAGAGAATATTTTTTATAATAATATTTTTTTGTAGGTATTAAACAGATGATTAATGCATACGAATATTGTAGAATGAATAATACAGTTTAGATACTTAAATGAAAATAAAACATTTTATATTATATTAATAATGTTTATTTTTTTCATAATGTTCTAATAATGGATATATTTTTATATAATTTTTATAGTTCACAAAATAATTTAACAATGATATAGATATTTTCCCTTTTTTGCGTAGAAATTATTATTTATTATCTAATATATAGAAATGATTTGACATAGTCTAATTGTCCAAATTTAATTTTAAACACTAAATTATTTTCAAAATTGAACGGTCTTTAATACAAATTATATTTAATATATCTAATAGTAGGATGGTACATCATATGCTTCCACAAGAAAGCTAATAAGAACAAGATCAATAAAACATAGAATTTTATATAGAAAATAAAAATTTGTGTATTTAAATTATATCTATATGAGAATATATTTTCTCATATACAGATATATTTATTTATATATTTCTCTAAGCTTCACACATTGTAGTAAATTAATGGTAAAGTACAACCTGGTAAGCTATCTACTATTCTCACAGCACAGTAAATTTTCGTTTTCATATAACATAAAAATAATCCGTTATATATATATCATATTAAGTTCAATATATATTTTTAAGGAGAATATATATTAAATCACTACATAGGTATTTCATTATATATATTTTATCATATTCATAGTCATCAATAAAAACATAATGGAAATAAAGACATTAATGAAGAATCATATTATGTTTGTAAAATATTCTTATGAATAAATAAAAAAAATGGTTATGTTTCTTAACCTTTATTAATCAAATATGAATGAATTTTATTTATGTTTTAAATGTAATTTATGATATGAACTTAATTTGATATATTTAAGCATATTATTCGATATAAAGAAATAATTTTATATTATAGATACACATACTCATTTAACGAAGACATATATATATATAATAAGCATAAGTTTAATATACGTTAAAATGTTATTTTAATAAAATTTATTTAATATTATAATTTGAATTATATGAAATGCGTATTCAGTTTTTATATATATCTAATGTTTTATTTATTATTATGCCTAATATTATAATAATTTATTAGTGTAATAGTGCTATATCCCATAAACCACAATATATATTATATGGCACACCTAATTTTTAATTTAAGATTGTTCTATAATAAAATAATTTTTATGACTTATTACGTATACGTGCTTTACTCAAAATTTTAGTTATTAAATCAATTAAAATTATATACACTCACTATTTGAAATTTTCGACCTTAATACATAGTAAAAAGAAATATTAGATATATTATATTGGATAAATAAAAATGATAATCATTAGATATGCATTGTTAGTACTATCAAATTTGTCTTAATGCATATTATACCTTAGAATTCATGTAGCATCTTCATTAAACAGATTATTTATATAGAATGTGCATTAACAATTTAGATCACATATAAAAATGTTACACTATAAATCATAATAATTTATACGAAGTATATATAATTTTTTGTTGCCATAATATTTTTGAAAGAAAAAATTATTTACTCCTCATTTTTATAAAAATTAATAAGTAGTTTAGATATAAGTCATTAAAAACTAATTTTTATAATTATGTTAATTATCATTAGTAAAAAATTATAATTTATTTACAAAATGAATTATATTAAGATACGTGTTTTATTATATTTTTTACTAAAATATTAATAGGTGCATCTAGTAATTATAAAATATACGTTAAACATAGTATTCAACTTAATTATAGATTGATATGATACTCCTTTAATCTTTATATAATAAACTCATGTAATTTTAAATTTCATAAAATTGTAATGATCTAAAAAATTTTAAATTTCATATGATAAACATTGAATTAGGTATAATAAGTCCATATTTATAATATATAAGGGAAATGTTTTATCACACATAAATAATTTAAATCCGTAAAAGATAACGGATTTTCACAAGACTTATATGAAAATATATAGTTTAATATTATTACTAAATAAATTGTATTAAAATGATGCAAAGAAAAAAAAAATATACGCATAAATATATAATAATAGTAAAATGAAGAAAAAACTATACATGAAAAAAAAAGGATATATTCCTGATAGAAAAAAAAAACAATTGCATTTTAATTTTCCACCTAAATAATTTTACTTATATTCTTATTTTATGCAGTTTTAAATGCTTTTCCTACAGCTAACCTTCATTCATATATTACCATATGCTGCTTAGTTTCATATAGGTATAAAGGTTAAGAAAAAATCCTTTTTTTTGTACCCTTATTTAGAAATATTCTTTTACGAATTAGGAATAATGTTAAGATATCCGTAAGCAAATAATAATTATCCATTTCATTTTGACTTATTTATATCGAAAGTAATAATGAATTAGTTTAATTTAAAAATAATAATTATGAAATTAAGTGCTTTTATTTATCAAAACATATCATGACATAAATAAATTTACATAGTAAAAAAAACCATTGATATATCATAAATGTTCTATATGTTTCACTGTACGAATGTGAAACCATGAAACTTGTGCGTTATGCCTATTATACGCATTGAATACGGAATAATAAATAAAAAACATGTTATATTTTTTGAGGGATATATATTTTTTCTAATATATATAATATACACTAAAAGAACAGTGCATATTTCCAATATATTTTAAACTTTGTTAACAAAATTTTAATTTCGCATATGTTTCAGTTCTTTTGGTGTTATTAAATTTTTAGAAATATTTTGTTAAACTCAATTTATATACATACACTTCAAATATTATAGAGCTGTATTATCCTTCTAAATTGATATTTACAAATATTTTATTCTATAAATAACTTCATTCACTTATATTTACCAGTATTTTTCATGAACTCAGTGATCCTTACTATATTTTATTTAGTAATATGCTATTAATTCTTGTTATAAGTTATATTTATGCAATGGAAGACATTTTTGCATATATTAAGTCATATATTTCAATAATTATTTTTTAAATTATTATTCAAGAATACCCTTATATTCACTTGTTCCGATTTGTTTATATAGAAATGACACCAGAAGTGATAGCTATATTTATTTAAGCCATGTTATGAGTAAAATATATAATGAAATAATT